CCATAAACCCTAAACCCTAAACCCTAATCCTCCGCCAGAGACTTCAAGTCTCCTAAGACGGAACCCTGAACCCCGCACGCAAAATCCTGAACCCCGAACTCCAAACCCTCAACAAGAGCAAACCCAACCGCACTGCAGTTGTAATGATAGCCCCCCATATATAGTCACTTTATAATCCAGTTGTACTTTGTTAAGTCCTCTATAAATCAAGCTTTGAAAACCCAGTCGAAGCTTTAAGAATGCACCAGGTTCGCATCATTCAGGCACCCACGTTGTAAGGCCGATACGATCCGTGAGGTGGCAGACGATGGAGCCTCGCTGGTAGTCCTCCTTCTCTGGGTCCGTGCCTTGGGCTTCGGGTTCAGGGTTGAATATCGAAGCCTAAATGATTAACAATATTATTATTGTTCCTTACGGTTCCTCATTATAATTACATTATAAAGGAGCCCAAAACCCTATTCTAACTATGAAGGCCCCTCCTTTAGAACCCTATTATAGATCCCGTTTAGAAACCTTTAAGATTAAGGATCCCATAATTGCATAATTCCAATTATTAAGGCCCCTACCTTAGAGTGGGTTTTGGGGCTTTGGGGCCTCAAGCCCCAGGTGGGCATGGGTTTAGGGTCTGAGGGGGCCTTCGCGCGCATTTCGGATGTGTGGTTTATCGGGTGCCTGCACAGGCTCAGGATGTTATAGGCTTGCAACAATCTCTTAAGGGGCTGAGTAGGTAACCTTTAACTTTTTTGGGCTTGTATAACCCTACGATATTTCAAAAGGTTAACCTAATTTTTGGGCTGAGGTACTCAGCCCAGAGGATCTTAGGGCATCTTGAGGGCTGGGGCCAGTCACGGGCGAATGACTCCGTCTGTGCGTTGGATGTCAACGCACGTCTACTAATGGCGTAGTCCCGAAAATCCTGCCGTCCTGGTTTTTTCCGCTTCTTGGACAAACTCCGTCCTTGGGCACAAGCATAACCTCATCAGAACAGATGTGGCCCTAAACCCTAACCCTAAACCCCTAAACCCCTAAACCCCTGAGCCTGAGAGCCCAAACCCCCCAAGCCCGCCAAAACCCCAAACGGTGCAGTCTCGAGCCTGGCCCTGTGAAGAGATCCTCAAAGAGTCCTTTCGACTACAGTGAGGGTTTAGGGTTTAGGGCGCAGTCTCACTCCCCCTTCGCACACCGATGTTTGGGACTTCCTGCGGAGAGATGGGAGGGCCAAGAGCCTTGTCTCAAAGTTGGCAAGACGAAGGTCACAAAACAGGGCGCCTGGGGAGACTTGGCACCGCCGCATGTAAAGCCTAGTCACACCTCGCCGCAAGAAAGCTCCGTCTCACTCGGGGCTGGCGGAGTATACCGGTTAACCATTTTTGGGCTAGGGTACTCAGCCCCTAGGCATTTAAGGCTCGTAAGGCTACATGGTACGGGAGGTTCTCTGATAGCCCTACCTGCACGAGTTAGCGTTTCACCTTGGTCGAGTCGGTCACGGCCTCGAACGAGCTTTAGTCTGTGATTCGTTCGAAGTAAAGCGCCCCTTGCTGGCACTGAACTGGGAAAGTCATACGTGCCTTCCCGAAGCACTTTGTTGCGCCTTAAATTTGGCGTGGTACAGCCGAGCCCCTAAAACAATTAAGGCCCCTATGTTAACTAGGCTCCTGAGCAGTACCCTTTTGTCCTTTTTCTTCTTGGGTCTCCTTATTAAAACCGAATACTAGGAAAAAGGTGTACCCATGGCATTAAGGGGCTACTCACTTTAAGCCCTAAACCTATACCCATAGGCTCCATAGTAGTTCCTTTTTTGGGCCTCATATTCAGGATCCTATAAGGTAATCCCAAAAAGGAACTACTTTGCAGCCTATGGGTAAAGCAACAGCAGGTCTTAGACGCGCGTCTCCTTCCCTGGCTCAAAGACGGGCCTGGATTGCGCTGGCAGTGCCCCAGCCCTCGCAACGAGCGATGGGGGCTCCTTTAAGGGGATCTATGGCTCTATAGGGGCTCCTTTAAGGGATGTACACCCTTTAAGGGCTTTTACGGGTTCCTTTAAGGGATCTATAAGGGCTCCTTTAATGGCTCTTTTAAGGGATCTTTAAGGGTTCCTTTGAGGGATTTATAAGAGCTCCTTTAAGGGCTCTTTTAAGGGATCTTTAAGGGTTCCTTTAAGGGATCTATTCGGGCTCTATCAGGGCTCCTTTAAGGGATCCAAAAGGGCTCCTCTAAGGGCTCTGCACTTGCGGGTTCGATGCGTATTTAGGGGGGGACTTTGGGATTTCCGGTCGGCCGCTAGATTAAGGATACCTGGGACCTAGAAGGGAAAAGGGTTTAGGGTTCAGGGCCTTAGGGTTTTAGGGTTTAGGGTTGAGGGCTTATAGGGTTTAGGGTTTAGCGTGATTGTATAGTATATCTTCAGAGTCTTGTTTAGAGTTTAGGGTTTAGGGTTATTGTATAGTATATCTTCGGAGTCCTCAACGGCACAATGGGTCAACGTCCCGGCTTCAGAACTTCAAGCGGAATCCACCCAATCCTAGCCTCAAGTCTTGTTAATAAATATTAAACCCTAAGTACAGGATATTCGTTCTGTTTGAGAAATTTTGTTGGATAGCCCCTCCCCCCATTTAGGACTGGGGTATGGAGCCCTGCTGTGCCTGTGCCGGTCTATTCTTCCTGAACATATCCCCAAAGCCTAAACCTTGCCCTAAACCCTGCAACCCTAAACCCTAAAGCCCCAAACCCTAAACCCCTAAACCCTAAACCCAAAACCCCTTACTAAACCGGCCCTTGGAGTCGCAAGAAGAGGTACAGCTGGCGCATCCTCGCCTCTGAAGAGGAGGGTGAGAAGGCGTGATGCATGTTTAGGGTTCAGGGTTTATAGGGTTGATGCTTGATTTCCTAAACCCTAAACCCAACCTGGACCCCCAAAAGTATGTAGAAGAGTAGCCTTTTATAGGTTTTGGGCCATGATTTTGCCTGCTTTGGAAGGTTTAGGTAAACCCTCTAAGCCCCCACACCCGCCTAAACCCTAAACCCTAAACCCCCGATAAGCCCCCCCACACGTGGCTCTCAGAGTTCGGGTTGGGACGTTCGGGCCTTTCTCCTCAGCCGAAAGAATCCGCGGCTTGTGGACATGTTGGGTTGTCGAAGAGTTTAGTGTTTACTTATAGGGTTTAAGGCTTAGGATTTATAGGGTTTATCGCTTATAGGCTTATAGGGTTTAGGGTTTAGGGCCCCATCCAAGGAACCCAGAACCTGCTATGACTGCTATGCATCCAGGCAGCTTCCTGATGCAGGCAGACACCACTTCAGGATGCGATTTCGGAATGGGAGGCAAGCTCCGGTCTGATAGACCCTAAACCCTAGAACCCTAAACACTAAACCCTAAAACCCTAAACCCTACAACCCTGGCGACTTTGTTCTGCAGCAGGCAGCCCCTCAACCTTCGCACGAAAGCAAGAAAGCTATGAACAGCATCAACGTGGTTTTGTCTGTTGTTCCGTGAGATGAAGGCCCTTGCGTCAACATTTTGTGTGGCGACGTTGGAGGAACCTCAAACCATTTGATGACAATATAGGGGCCTAAATGGTTACCTATACCATCCTGTGCTATTTTGGGGGTTCCTTGCTGTATTCCTAGTATAATATATGCCCAAAACCCCATTCTAATTATGAAGGCCCGTACATTATGCTCGTGCGACACCAACATGCTTTTGATGCGGCAGTAAAGACGGTGATTCTCCGGGCTGCAGAAGCTGACGGCAAGCCTCCGCCCGCGACGAATGTTCTTCGGCAGCTCCGTTCCCCTTCGACGTGCCGACTTGTAACCGAAGACCGCGTACATTCCTTTCAAGGCCTTCGAGAAACAGCGAAGCTTTCTGAAGGCCCCACCAACCCTTCTTACATACAAGCAAGAGAAACAATCAGGATTAAGGTTGGGTTGTCAAGGGTTTGGGTTTTAGGATTTAGGGGTTTAGGGTTCCTCTGACTCTAGCGGTTCCGTTAGTGTTTGGGCTGGTGGAGGTACTGGAATCTGATAGCCTTAATGGCTAGACCGCGCTCCTTGCCGTCGTAGTTCTAAGCTTTAGAACTTCCCGTGTAGTCCTGCAGAGGTACCTATTCCTCAAATACTGGTGCCCCAAGAGCATTACGTACATGGTTTATGTTTTTAGCACTTTGGTGCTATTTCGACGGCTATCTCTGTTATGTCCCCTGGTCCCGGTATAAGACAACACGTAACTCTTTGCAAGTACAACTACCTTTGTTGGTATTCGTCATGTTTAAGTCCCATCATCAGGTAAGCCTTAAATTTAAACCCCTATTGATCCCCTCTTGAACCCTACACAAAGCACCATTTTTAAGGAGCCCTCAGCCCTAAACCTCAGCCCTAGATAATGAGTGTCGTGCTCAGAACTGGCAGCAGAGTGGCTGCTACCACTGTGTCCCCGAGGTGCACTCTCAACTCTCTCTAGAGCTTACCGGGTTGGGTTTAGGGTTCTGGGTTGGCCAATTTTTGTGGTTTCGAGGGTTGAGGGCTAGGTGCTTTTGCTTTTAAGTTAGTTCTGTGAGTGAGTACGATCCTCTTACAAGGAACCAGGGAAAGCAAATGAGGGTGCGTGTAGTTCCCTTATTGGGCTTTTGAGGATCTTTTTTTTCCATGTTTTCAGATGCTTTAAAGATCCGGCCTAGAGAGCGATGCGGCTGATGGGATAAATCCTGCATTACCCACAATAAGGAATATCCCATAATTCCCATAGTTTAGGGTCCGTAAGGTAATGCAGGATTTATATCATCAATTGTAAGTCCATGCATCGGTTGAGTTGGCAGCCTCGAGGTGAAGAATTGATTCGAAAGGAAGCCTTGAGGCTAACTGAGCACCGCAAGGGTTTTGATGTCGCGGGATTGGGGCCTAAACCCTAAGCCGTAAACTTATACCGGGTTGGGTTTAGGGTTTAGGGTTTAGGGCAAAGACGATGCGATGAATGCTCTTCAACCACGGCAGAGCGAGCCCCAATGATCGGTGGTGTTCCCATGCCCGACAACGGTGATGATGCGTTGGGGCCAGTCAGGCAGGAGGAGTTCGCCCTGGTGCCGGTCAAGCAGGAGCTCGCCGGCCAGGTAATGTTGGTAGTAAATGGGTTTAGGGTTTAGGGTTTGAGGAGGATGATGAGGGGTCAGGCGAGAACCCGGAGCTGGAAGTGGTCCACGTGAAGATCAATAGGCCGGTGTCGGAAAAGAGGCGTGCTCAGCTGAAGGCGGCGGAGAAGAACCGCAAGAGCAAGGTCAGATCCCGCCGTGCAGCGGGTCAGCTAGAAGCGTTGGAAGAAGAGAAGCAAAAGCTCGCTGGAGCGGGTGGAATCTGACAAGAAACAGCTCAGTCTAGTGGGGGCCCGTCTTCAACGTGCAATCCCGATGACTTTGTTGCCGCGAGCTAGAGAAGTACTTCCAAGCCATGACGATGATTGTGTATCCGCTTCCAGATGTCATCACTTGTTTCAGGCTGCTTATTTTGATCCGTCATTCTTTTGTCACCCTGCCGTGTAGCGAAACGACCTCGAGCCTAATCCCAGTTTTTCCGCTGACCACCTAAACCCCTAAAAACCCTAAAAACCCTGAGCCCCTAAACCCTAACACCCTAAAGCCCTAAACCCTAAACCCCTAAAAACCCTAAACCCAGAAAAACCCTAAACCCCTCAACCCCTAAAAACTCTAAAAACCCTAAACCCCTAAACCCTAAAACCTTCAAGCCCTAACCCCTAAACCCCTAAAACCCCTAAACCCCTAAAAAACCCTAAACCCCTCAACCCCTAAAAACCCTAAAAACCCTAAACCCCTAAACCCTAAAACCTTCAAGCCCTAACCCCTAAACCCCGAAAACCCCTAAAGCCCTAAACCCCTAAAAACCCTAAAAACCCTAAACCCCTCAACCCCTAAAAACCTTAAACCCTAAACTTAGGGTCTCTTCTTAAGGTTTCGGGGTTTGGGGATTTCGGGTTGTCCTCGATCGAGTTGGCTTCTGAACTTTTAGGGTTTTAGGGTTTAGGGGTGTAGGGTGTAGGGTTTAGGTGTTTAGTTAGGTTTTAGGGGTTTAGGGTTTGGGGCTTTAGGATTTTATAGGGTTTTAGGGTTTAGGGCCTCAGGGTCTGTTGGGTTTAGGGTTTTAGGGTTCTGGACGGCGCTTCAGTCGAATCACCGGTCCGGTTTATGGTTTAGGGCCCCAGAACCCCCGGCTTTTTTCGCCCCCTTGGATTCTTTGGGGCTTTGGGTTTAGGGTGTTGGGTTTAGGTTGGTTGGTTGGTTTAGGGTTTAGGGCTTAGGGTTTAGGGCTTTTAGGGCTTAGGGTTTAGGGTTTAAGGTTTAGGGTTCCTGTGGCCGTAAAGCGGGTGTATGCCGACAAGGGCTCGTAAGGGATCGGGTTCAGTTGAATTTCAGATATTGCAGCAGTTTTGTCCAGACCCCTAGATCCATATAGTAACTCTCAAACTGGTATAGAACTCCTAAACCCTAAGCCCTAAACCCACAAAACTCCTAAACCCCTAAACTCCTGAACCCCTAAACCCTAAACCCTAAGCCCTAAACCCACAAAACTCCTAAACCCCTAAAGCCTAAACCTACAACCCTAAACCCGTAGACCCCTAAACCCAAAACCCCTAGACTCCTAAACCCCAAACCCCTAAACTCGGTCCAGCTCTCGCCCAACGTGTGGAGGAAGAGGCCAGGGTTCGCTCGCCCCCTCTTCGCGAGGTGCGGAGCCCGCAGTACACAAAGGGTCCTGTCCTAAGGACGAAATGGGCCCTAAAATGTTTTGGGGTTCATATACCATATAGGGATTCATAGTATAAGGGTATAGGGGCCCCCTACTTTTAAGGGACATTTCGTCCTTAAGGGTGTTTCTATATGGGAGGGGATACCCATAGGCTCCATAGCAGCTCCATTTTTGGGCTTATATGTAGAATTCTTTGAGGTAATCCCAGAAAAGGAACTACTATGGAGCCTATGGATACTTACCCAAACCAAAATGTCAGTTGTTATGATAGAAACCCTACTCTCTACTATGTAGGTACTTAGGACCCGTCGGGGGTAATTGTTGGGGGGCTTGGGATATTTACTCGCAACATAAGCTATATCTCCATCTCAGGTATTTTGCTTAGGGCTGAGCAGGTAACCTTTAACCCTTTGGGCTTGTATAATCCTACTATAATTCAAAAGGTTAACTTTTTGGGGGCTAAGGTACTCATCCCCTAGGTTTATGGTAGTTGATTAAGGTTGTGTTTCTAGGCGGCTGTCTCACCAAAACATCACGGCATCTCGGGGTGCAACAGTGTGGGGTTTGGGTATTGTGGGGGTGAGAGGTTCCTTATGGGCGAAATGACCCTGTAAAAGCAGGGGCCCTATGCCCTTATACTATGAATCCCTATGTGGTACATGAACCCTCGAGCTTGGGTGCTGGAGCAATGCTTCCTGCGACATGTGAACAACTGCAGACAGATGTAGGCTGCGGGCAAGAGTACGGGTATCCACAAGGCTTCTACAGAGATGTACAGGGGTTTTCGGTGTTTGGGGTACAGGGTTTGCATCAGGGAACATTCTTTGAGTTGTAAGTGTGAGCTGAGATTTCTGGTTGAGGCAGTCTCTTGTAAACTTGATGCCCGAAATTCCACTGATCGTGGCGGAGGTGCACTAAGCGGAGGGGACTTCGCAGTGTAGGGTCTAGAGTCTAGAATTGACGGCAGTTAGATTACTTTGAGCCGGGAGTACTACTTCGTGGTCAACGGTCATGCTAGCGACTGGTAGGGGAGCTTCCACACCGCTGCCCACCCCATGGCGGAGTTCGTCATATTGATCGACGGGATCGGAGTGCTTCGTCGACGCCATCTCTTCGTGAGTCCCAGCGCTTTGGCTTCCCGGAACGCCCTGACCCCCGGCACCCACTTGGAGGTTCATGGCTAGTTATAAGTGGGGTTTTAAGTCCCTCAATATGGGTTATAACTCTAGTTACCCTACTTGTAACTCCACTTATTACTAGCCATGAACCTCCAAGCATGCTTCGCTCGTTGCTGACGTCTCCACGGGCAAGCTGGGTGCCGCTGGCGACCAAAAGCAGTCCGCCATCATCACCTAAAGGACGAAATGACCCTTAAAAGTAGGTGCCCTATACCCTTATACTATGAATCCCTATATGGTATATGAACCCTAAAACCTTTTAGGGTTCAATTCGTCCTTAAGGCACAGGCCTGCCATTCAGGAAATCAGGCGCCCGGGGGGCCCCGGGCTCAGCCCGGGGCGCAAAGGTGCGCGTGATCGCTTCAGCACTTTCCCCGCTCTTGCCTGCATCTGGGTTCACTGTCATTCTTTTGGAGATCGTTGAGACTCTGTGGAGTTTGTTGCGGTTGAGGCTTTATCTTGTTGTTGTGGGTTTAGGGTGTAGGGTTTATAGCGGCTTAGGAACAGCCCTCCGAAGATTTTGTTTGCTGCCGGCATTGCAGGATTGGGATTGCCAGCGAGTCGAACTTCGTGTGCGTGGCCTGGCGCATCAAGTTCACTTCGAGGTTTATATTCCCTAATTTGGTCCATGTACCCAACCTTGTGGTCTAAATGACCCTTATAAAAGTTGACGTTGCGCTTTTGAAATGACCCTTATTTTAAGGTACGTTTGAAATGTCCTCTAAATCTGGCTCCTGGCCCTTGTCTCAAGAAACATCAGGGGCGAAAGGTAGGTAAACGAGACATGCAAACAGTCTTGCATGTGCGATGTTGTCATGATGCCGTCCTGACTGTACACCTGCAGCTCATGATGCGTAGGTTTTGACCGATGTGCGAGTAGGTGAGTGTGAGGAAAAAACCCTACTCCCCTGGAGCTCCCTAAAATTATGCAGTCGAGCTTTGCCAGGCATCTCTGCATGCATGCATGACAGTCGATCTGCAGGAGTGACCGCTGATGTTTTTGCACACACATGCAGTCAGATCTGTGCAGGCTGTGTGGAAGTTCGGTGTGTGCTCGAGCATGTGCTTTGCATGTCTGCTGTCGAAGCAGGGCATATCTCACGCAGTGAGCACGTAACCGAAAAGAGTAGAGTCCCATGCGTGAACAGTCCCTGCATGTGTCGTCCATGTTCGGAATGGCCGGCGGTGGCAGCGTGATTTCGCTGCAGGATTGTTTGTCGATAAAGTGTTTTGGTTTCTGCTGTGCAGTTCGACGGGTCTGTGTGTGGTGTGACGCTGTCGCAGGACTTTGGGTGCATGGCTGTGGTTTGGATGTGGTCATGGAAACAAGACCTTGGTGCAGGACTGTTATAAATTGCGTTGCATGAAAGCAGGGGCTGTAAACTGCATTGCACCTGCAACACATTGTGTGTTGAAGGATTGAGGCCTTCGAGCTCCTCGGTGACGTCAGTTTTCTTTCGCAGGACTGCTGCATATATGATCGTTTGTTTTGTCGCAAGATGTCTTTCTGCAGAGATGGCCGGGTTCAGGACTCTCTGGCCCAGGATGCTTCGCAGCAGATAAAGCTTTATCTGCAGGACTGCTGGCATGCATGATTGGTTTCAGTCGTGGCTCGGCGCCAAACGTGCTGATTGGAAGGACCGTCGAGTGGCCTTCGGTGACCTTTTGTTTCCAAGACTCTTGGTGGACAATAAAAGAGTTTCAGGTGTGTGTGTGTGTCGAATTTCGATTGAGTTCCGGTCTGTTGTATTCAGGATGCCTCGGCCTGGCAGATACAAATCCAAGCTGTGCCGGCTCACCAAAGATGCAGATGAACCAGGTGCCTATGTTCTGCATGCTTGCATGCTTGCAGCTCTGACAGAGCCACGGTTGTTGTAGAGCATGTTTCTGCATGTGAGTGGACTTGGACATGATCACCGTGTTGCTCGAGCTGAGCTCGTCATGTCGTCCATGATCGAAGGCTGCAATGTGCCGCATTGTGCCAATCACACAAAATGTGGCTACAACAAATCACTCCATGAGATGCCCTGACTTGGAGGTACCATGTAGGATTTGTAGTTGGAGCTGTGAAGTATCCCAATAGCCATGGCTGCTGTGATTCCTGAGAAGGTTCATTTTGAACCAGGCAGCGAAGCTTTGAAGGTTTCTTCTGAGCTCTCTAGGGAGCCCTCCTTGATCACGGCATCTTCGCTGAAAGTTGTAAACATCATGCAGATATTGAGCAGATTCAGCCGCTTTGGAGTTCGAATTGCGACATTGTTTGTGGGTCCAATTAAGGCAGGGCTGAACATGATCATCGATCCGAGCGGGAAGCTCCTCACGAGGCGCAAGGTTGTGACGCGGAAGGATGTGATTGCAAATCCTCGTGCTCCCAGTCTGCATTCAATTATAAGGATCATTTGTGAAGGCCGTCTGTGGA